CACTCGTACACCGCCCACGACATCGCGTGGGACTCGACCTTCGCGCCGTGTACGCGCCGGGTCGGCGCCTCCTCGGACGGCGGCCCCGGCCTCTCGGTTGACTTTCTTGCGCTGCACGCCACCCTGCCTCTCGTGCCGGGGCTCGAGCTTCCTCCCGACGCGGAGCTCTTCCGACTGGCGCAGCCCGGCGAGCGAGCGTCCCCCATTGGCGCCCCGCCGCCGCTGCCGGCGAGGACGGCGGCGGAGACGCGCCGGCCGACGGCTTTGGCGTGAGATGGGTGGCCTCCCGCGCGCGGCGCGGCACTGTGTGAGAGCATGGTTGCGTGGCATGCATGCTATCAGAATGGCATGCGCATTTTGTTACATAACTTCTGTGCGAGAGTGCGGCAGAGTGGATTTACCTGTTCCTTTTTACCCATCTCCTGGTAGAGGTGTCCGTTTTATTTATTTATTTAGAGAGTGGATTTAGGAGAGGCTCCCACGCGGCTCGAGGCGCAATGTTCTCCTCCTGGTCGGGTCGAGGCCGGGGCTTCCCGCCGAGCGGCCTCCATCAGCGATGCGAAGTCGGCAAAGCTCACGCGTCCGTCTCCGTCCGAGTCGACCTGGCAGAAGAGCAGCCGCACAGTTGCGGCAGGTATGTGTGGCGCCACCTCGCCTGCCGCATTCCGCAGGTCGTCGAGGGTGATGTAGCCGTTGCAGTAGGGATCAAGCGCAGAAAAGTGTCGCCGCACGCTGTCATGGGGATCTTGTGACAGAAGCTTTGGGACTGCGTAGGCACAGAAGTCGGAAAGCTCGAAAGCGGCGGGGCACGCCTTGGGTTGGAGTGCATCCAGATCGAACGCCGAGATGTGCCAGCCAAAGAGCTGGATATGCGCAGCCCGAAGCTCGTGCCGAGTGAGAAAGCCTTTCCCGCCAGTATCGCAGTCATGAAAGACAACCGTGGCTGCCTTGACACCGGGCGTGCCCATGCCAACGGTCTGGATTCGGTACCTAGGTACCCGGGTACTTCAGATTGGTATCGTATCATCGGATGCCAGATCATACCCCAGGGCTATACCCTGATACCCTCTTGAGAGGACCCGCATTGGGCCCCTAGAGGATAGGCTGATACCCTCGTGGGTTACCCTTCACACCGGACACGACCCCCCTCTTCACACCTCTTCGCGCGCTGCGCGCGCGCCAAGTCAGACAACGCGAGCGCACCACTAAGCAATGCGCTGGGCGAGGAGGGCGCTAATGGTGGCCGTCGTCGCGTTTGACGGGCCCGCGGCCGCAGCCGGTGCGGCTGCGGCCGCGGGAGGGGCCGCGGCCTGCACGGCTGCGGCCTGGGCCGGCGCCGCGGGGGGCGCGGGGTTAGGCGCCGTGGCGGGCTCCGCTGCGGACTCGGTGTCCCCCGCCGCCGCCCCCATCGCCTGCGCCGATGCGAGCTGCTGGCGCGCGAACTCCTCGCGGGAGGGAAATGCGAAATCGTTCTCGAAGTCAACACATGGCACCGGCAACAAAATCCGGTGAATTTCCGAAACAGCTGGCTTTGCCGAAACGAGGAGGCGTGCATTGCGCGCGCAACAGCTGGTGGGCGTGGCGCGCGGGTACGGCGGAAGCGCAAAGAGTTTGAATGATACCGGGGCGCAC